TGTAATACAAATTGAAAAACTAGATACATTTAAAACTATATAATATTTTTGATAAGTATAGGTGTCTCGCACCATACCGATATTTTTTTTTCCAAACTGGAAGCATCGGTACATTGAGGTCGCAAATATTACCTTCTTGACCCACATCGTGTTTTCATCTTGACCTGCATATATTGTATATATTGTATTACATATAGCAGGGTCAAGAAAGGGTAATTTTTGCATCGACATCGAGGTCCGACAGTATATCGTGATCTACACGTGATTGACGTATCACGATTAAAGATGTAACGCGTCATTATTTAACCAATCACACGCTTTAAAATTCTGATGGATCGTCAGCCAATGATATCAAACCTTAGTTTTTCGCGTCTGTATTTAAGATCCGTATTTTCCTATTATTAACTTTCTTTACTTTCTTTGCTGTTTGTTATCTTATTTTTAATAATGTTATCAGAAGAAAATTTGAATAACCTTCGATATATTGATTACTGGAAGAGACCGTGTAAAGAATGGGGAGTAGATACGTGGGATTTATATTTCAAAGAAACCACTAATGATGAATCAAGTCGCTCATCACATCGTGCTCTAGGTAAAGAGTTAAATATTTTATTCAAAAATTTACAAATAAAACGAAACGTAAAGGAAAAGTGGAAATTATTGAAGGTAAAACGTAAGGTTAGTGTTTTTACGTGTTCACGTACGCGAGGAAGAAAGTCCAGTCACAATAATGCCGCGTCGGGCATTTTTACTATAAGGTTCTTTGATTAAGGTCTGCTGATTCTAGAGGAGAGAATCAGCCAAGTACTTCCTTAATATTACTCACACATCCCTCTCTTTGTTACTACTACAGCTATTACAGATTTCCGGCGGCAAAAAGAAAGAAGATAAAGAAAATGTAGAGCAACCTGGTAAAGTATTACTGTCATTAGTTTACTCTTTATTCGAATGTCCCTTTTCTTACGTTAATGATCTCATCTTTTTAGCCCGGACTGTCCCAGCAAAAAGAGAGCTAGAGGTAGAAGAGTTTCCTCTTGATTTGCCAAAGAAACAAAAATTTGGTTTTGCTGTAGATTCCGTCTCCGATTTTAAAGAATTGAGAAGACTGAATCTTTTCTATGCTGACAAGACCATGTATATCGAAAGAATTGAGAACAATAGATTTGTCCTAATGTTCTTGCGACCAAAACGATTCGGCAAATCACTGTTATTGTCCACACTTAAATATTTCTACGACATTAACGAAGCGCCATATTTCCGATCATTATTTGGATCGCTCGATATATACAAGCATGCGTCAGAGCTGTCACACAACAAGTTCCTTATCCTTAAGTGGGATTTTTCTAAGATTCAAAGGTATGTCTTATCAAATATACTTAATGATGATTTTATGCGCCTTATTGTATTCGTCTACTAACATAAATGAATAACTTATATTATTGTTAAAAGTTCTTCAAATTTAGAAGAGATGAACAAAAATCTCAAAGACCACATCAATATGTCGATCGAGAAGTTTTGTGATGATTACGCCCGTTTGCTGAACATCACAAAAAAAAGTGATTATCTGCAAAAAAGAGTTATTAATTCAGATAATTGCATTAATTCTCTTGAGCGTCTTTTTCTTAAATTTAGGAACTATAAGGTGATCCATTAATGTTCTCCGTTATTCATTTTTAATGATCGCTAACGATAATGTCTTTTTCAGATTTATGTTCTGATTGATGAATACGATGCATTTGCTAATGAATATCTTGACGAGAAAGATTCATATGCACAACTCCACGAGAAGCATAGCTTATATAAAGCCATTTTTGCAACACTTAAAGCTCATCGTGGCATAGAAATTGAGCGTATTTTCATTACGGGTGAGTTTGTCAATAAGGTTCTTACATGACAATAAATGCACTCATTAACACATCATTCTTAAATATTTTATCACTAAAAGGTGTTTCACCGCTTTCAATAAATGAATTAACATCATTTAACATATCTCATGACATTTCTCTCGATCGGGATTTTTGGTGTTTGTGCGGACTTGAAAAGAAGGATATTCAGGAGGCTCTTGGATCCATTTTTGAAAAAAAAGAGCACATTACTTTTAATGGGAGGCTAATACCTTTTATTCAAAAAGGAAAGGAAAGGCTTATCGAATTTCATCTTAAGAAGATTAGTGACAACTACTATGGATACAATTTTTGTCATACGAAGGAAGATAATGGAATTTATTGCACCAAACTTAGTCTGGATTATCTGCAACATCTGTTGGATGATAAACCAATGGGGCATGTCAAATCCGATAACGATTTGAATGATAGCGTGCTAAGGTTTATTGAGAAAAACCCTAATTTAAGACTACTATTCAGTGAATTGTTGGTAACCCGACAGACATCTTACAATATTATTGAGGAAAATTTTCGACTATTTGATTTGAATGATGCTGTCAATCAAAACCCAGAGTTTCTAAAATCATTTCTTTTCTACTTTGGGGGGTTGACATTTGAAAAAAAATCACAACACCTCTGCGTACCAAATGTTACTATCATGAAAACTATCATTCATCGTATCATTAATCTTTGCAATATTGACACAAACTCACAGGATTTCAAACATGCTGTTAACAATCTCATTCATCACCATAAAATTGACACGTTATGCTCATATTTACAGTTAAAATTAAAGGAATGGATTAAGAGAGGAAATCTCAAAGACGACAGAGAATTGGTAACAAAAGTAATGTTTCATGTTTCACTCTCAGCAATTCCGAACTACCTTAACGACACAGAAGTTCCCATAGTTATTTATGGACATAAAATGGAAGCAAATATTTGTTATGCCGATCTACTAATAGTTGAGACTAGGCCTGTTTCTGATGGTGCAAAGAAGAGTCGGTTCATTTTTGAATTCAAGTGTAAAGGTGTCAACTTTTTGGATTTGCAAATCAAAGGTATGTTTTCATACTCCGTAAACTATCTTTTCATAAGCTCCTTATGTTTATCATTATTTTGAATTGATTATCGAATTAGGTGACAATAGTGACTGGGAAGTGATGGAAAAAAGGGCGGACAAAGTTGAAACAATGTCAGCAAGTGATGTTCGTCAATTGAAGTGTGGAAATGCAGAAAGATTTGAAATAGGCAAAACTATGGAGGATATTCTCAATGATGGCTGTGAGCAACTTATTAAATATGTGCTCAATTTAGAAGAAGATGATCGTCAAAATCATCGTGAGTTTGCCACATCGGCATTTGTTGTGATGACAGTTGGCTCAAGGAAATTAATATGGGAAAAATTAGCATCTAATTCGTGTTAAGGTAACTAATTATTAAATTATTATTATTTTACCATTTCCAAATTAAAAATATTTTATCTTAAATTTATTTTATAGTTAATAACAATGTTGTGAAACTCAAGTTGTTGAGATAAAACCTTTAGAAGAAGAGAAGTAAAAACAACGACGCATTTAGATTCGAACAACGTCACGTTCAATAAACGAAGGACACGATGATAAACATTTATCAAAATCACTAGAAGAATATCCTTCTTCATATTATTTAAAAGAAGGGACATCAACAGCTCAATGTCTACCGCAACAATTCAAATGAATTCAACATCTGAAAAAGAATTATTAGAAAAATTTGGACAATTTACAAAGTGGGGTCAACCGAATCCAGAAGTAATTGGTGTGGATCATATAGTCGGTACATTTTCGTTCTCAATTTAATGATTGGTCAAGTGGAAACGAAAATGTTATAAGAGATGCTCATTATCTGCAAGTAGTAGTAAATATGTGTTGGAATGGATATCCTTTAATAATTTTAGAGGTGTCGAAAGTACACTTATATTGCTTATTGGTTGGATGGATTTATTTTAGGGTGGGATAGAAGTTCGAACCGTGGTAACGGAACGATATGGTTGCATAATTCTCATTTTATCACTATGGGGTTTCTCAATCAAGTATGTCATCTCCGATCTTTGAATATCGAATAATAATGCATTATCGTTACACGGCTATTAACCGTTTCTTTGTTATTATTAAGATTGTAAAGAGTAAAGAAACATTTACAGTTGTAACATATTTCAGCATTATGGAAAAACATAATCTCCAGAAACAGATGATTATATGATCGTAATGGAATGTGCGGTTCAAGGAAGTATTAGATTATAACTGAATGGAGATCTAATGCAATGAATTGTATGGAAAGATGAATATACTTTCAAGCATATCACGAGGATTAGAGTGGATGCATAATCAAATTACATACATTCTAACCTTCATGTGGGAAATATATTAAGGATAGGAACAGGAGAAGCCAGGCGTTGGTATTAAAAATCCAACTTTAAATTTACTTCATTTATTTATGAGGTATTACCTTATTTATCACCGGAAGTATTACACAACAAATATTTCCAAAGATATTTATGCTTTTCGTGTAATGATGAATGAGATTATATCAGGGTTCCGCCTTTAATTATGTTGCTCATGATAATCAGTTGTGACCGCTGAAATATGTCGAAGACTAGACCAGGAATTCCGGTGCACATTCTGTGATTATTGGCAGAATTAATTTAAAGGTGTTGGGAAATGAAGTCTATTAACAGGCCTTCTGCTAAAGAATTTAACTCAATGGTGGAATTATTCACAAACGATCAATTATCAGAAATTAATGCACAGTGTAAATCTTGTGATGATATGTCTACACTCCTACTCTGCTTTATGTTAGTCATCCTGAAGCTGTTTATTATAGTAGATATTGGAATTTGATAAATATGCTTATAATCATTAATATTGACGGAAGGTTCAACTGCAAAATTCTTATTTATCATCTTATTCAGGTAAATAAATATCGCATAGTTTGCTTTTCTTGAGATCATTTATATTGATTTACTGTATTCATTTTGTAGAATCTCGTCAAAACTGACGCATAAGATAATTTGGACTTGGAATATCAAGATTATCATGCCGATTTCTATCTTTGATAAATTTATTTTTTAAATTTATTTTGAATGACGGTTTTCTTAAAAATTTTACTACGGAGTGATAAATTTATTTTTAAATTAAATTTATTTTGCTATGGAGGTGACGAATTTTTTTTTAAAAAAAAAAAATTTTGTTTACTACGGAGGTGATGAGTTTTTAATAATGTTAAAAATCTTGATTAACCTTCGAAATACCATGTTAGGAGTGGGACTTGTACTTCGACTTATTTATAATTGTTATTAAATGATTTTTAAATTTTTTGAATAATTTTACAACTAATATTTAATATAATAATATAATAATTATATTTTACTAAAATAATTAGTAAATTTAAAAGATTTATATTTTACTTTAAAAATGATATTCTTTAAATAATTCACTTTATTGAGAATAAATAGGTTTAATTTACTTAACTTTTTACTAGACTTTTAGTAAACTTATAATAAACCATTTTTATAAAATAAAATAAAAACTAAAAATACAATATATTATATATCTCATAATTAGTTATTTATATAAGTTATGATTTTGTTAAACTTTAAATTATAAAAAGTAAATTAAGTAAACTAATTTATTATCATAAAAAAAAAAAAAACATACCTTATATTTTTCCTATTCGGGTCTTTATATATAATAAATACATAGTATTATCATTATTGGACAATAAATAATAGATAATATTAAACAAAAAAATGGTTTTTATTATCTATTAAGCAAGCAATAATTTATATAATAAAGGTGTTCATTGTTGTTCATTAAGTTTACTTATATTTATTAATATATATTTGATAAAAAAAAATAAAATATATTTAAACTTTATTATTATTTTATTTATTTCAATTTTTATCAAAAAAAAAAAAATTATATATCATACTATTCTTTA